TATTATAATCAAAGGCTGAGAAGTGGTCTGATTTAGATTTTGACACGGCACCTGTATAATAAAAGGATCGTACGTAGACAGGAAATGAGCACTCGTGAGAGTATTCCTCTAAATGTCTTTTTACTGCGTTGTTTGAGGTTGAGCGAACTCAGCCTAAGCACGGTTTCTAGTCTGGTGTGTGGGAACCCAGTGGACACACACACACAAACACCACACACACACACCACCACCCTTTCCACACACACATGGGTCCCTGCAACCAATAACATGATGACTTAAACCTGTTAAAACAACAGGCCATCCCTTTTACCTTCTAGTCCACTGTATGTTCAGATGATGGTCAATATGTAGTTCATTAGATGACCCACCTTTTATTGTTTTAACTTGTTTCATTTTTACAGCTGCCCCCCACTTCTCTAACTGCCCTGCCCCCCTGCCCACATCCCACCCTTGCTGGAGAATGAAGCTTGTTTTTCCACTTTTCCATGTTCTATGATTCATAACCTTTCGAGGAAAACATGGAATATTTGCTGTTGTTTGAATCCCAGATTGCCCTTTTAGTCTCTCTCTAGTGCACCTGTACTGTAATATATTCCATACACAGACAATACAGTAAAGCAAGATATACAGCTATTTTAGAACATATAGTCATTTAAAATAACTGACCATCAGCAATGGTTATTACATTCATTGTTGATGTAATATGGTAATGTTAGCCACTGTAATCAAACAAGACATGTATGCTTCCAAGAGCAGCTTTTATAGCATGTTATGATTAACTTTTCTTTTAAGTGGTGTGGCTGTCCCACTACTTTCATATTTTCTTTGTTTATTGGACAGGATATATAGAAAGAACTAGATAGGAGGAGAGAAATTGCTGGAGCGTTGGGTCAGATTTGAACCCATGCTCGCAGCGTTAGTACTTGTTATCCAGAGGCAGTAGCTTAGACCGCTGGAACACCCCAGGCTACATGATTAAACATTGATTTTTCACACACAAAACACAACAAACGCCACCAACAAACAGAAAAGACACAACAAACCTGGTCAACATCAGACAATACCACATAAACAGCTCAATCCCATGATAAATCCCTTGTAGCCTAATTGAGCCGCCAAGCCAATTGGCTTCCACTGTGTTAATGGGAAAACCCTTGTCTTCTCCAAGGGGGATGTCCTCTCTCTTCTCTGGGAAAACAGGGTTTATTGTCTGTCTGTCTGGAGACTAAATGGCATCGCCAGAAAGAGGGAACGCCAACTAACTTCCTACGAACAACTGTCCTGAAACAGAGAGAGAAGCGCAAAGAGAAAGATCCAACTTCTGTCCATATTGCAGTTGGACAGAGTGAGTTTCCTGGAAAATGTTGACACATGGACATTAGTTGGTTAGGAACATATTAGAACGTTCCCTCGCTTTCTCTCTCTGGTCTCTCTCTCTCTCGCTCCCTCCACAGTCTCTCTCTACTCTGGTAACGGCCTGTGTGTGAGGAGATCCAGCAGTCTTTCTGTTTCTAATTTCTCTGCTCTTTTACCACATCTGACTTTCTCCAGAACTGAATTTATAGGGGAACTGGGCCTTGTCAAAGCCATGTGGTGTCTGTCAGCATGGGAGCTGAATGTACAGGGGAGCTGGGCCTTGTCAAAGCCATGTGGTGTCTTCCAGCCTGGGAGCTGAATGTATAGGGGAGCTGGGCCTTGTCAAAGCCATGTGGTGTCTGTCAGCATGGGAGCTGAATGTATAAGGGAGCTGGGCCTTGTCAAAGCCATGTGGTGTCTGCCAGCATGGGAGCTGAATGTATAAGGGAGCTGGGTCTTGTCAAAGCCATGTGGTGTCTGCCAGCCTGGGAGAGAGAGACCAGGGCTAAACTAGTCTTTCTCATTTGTCTTTTCAGACAAAAGTACATACAAGTGCAAGCATGCATGTTGATGACCCCTATACAGACACGTGCCTATGCTCATACACTATCACACATACACACACGTTTGTGTTTGCAGGCACACTCTTTCCTATTTCTATTAGCCCCTACTACGTAGGCAGTGATATACAGCTGTGGTAGCTCACACATGCAGCTGATAATGGCAGTCACTCACCAGGACCCTGTCACATAGGGATTTAGAAGCCTGTTTTTCTTCCGCTAGTCAAGTCAGGTGGCCTTTTGGAAAAAAATGGCTCCTGAATTGTCTCTTTGCTAAACTATGGCCAAATTCCATAAAGGTGGATGGATTGGATTGGATTATTTCATTTTGAACAGTTGCAGTATCTTGGTCTATAAAGTATCTTTGCTAAACTATGGCCAACTTCCATTGAGTTTCGTATGGTATTGGCAATTTTTATTGAGGGAGCATATTTCACACGTTGAATGTAGGACTTTAAAAAAGAGAGGAGAGACGTACCGTACTACCTCTCATCTCACTGCTATATGTGTTGAATGCCATTCATCAAAACATATTTTCAGTCTAGGATCTAGCTAGCCTACAGTAGCATAATAATTAATTAGCATAGCATCAATGTCACAATGTCAAATTCACTTTGGAAAGTTAGAACTGAGCAAAACCAATGCCTCTACAGTCAGTCCAATGTTAGCGTCTTCACTAGGCTAAACATTAGCATAGCATAATTAGCATAGCATTATTAGCATTTGTGAAGCCAAACTCACTGTACTGTGTGTTGTCAGACCCCAGACTCTGCTGTAATGTATACAGTGGGACCTTTAGACAACAGCGGAACAGAAAAGCAGACTGCCTTTGAGGAAGTGGAACCAGTTCAGGGTGGGCACGTGACAGTACACAACCCCTGTTGGTTGCCCTTCAGATTCAAAACACCCAGCTAACCCACTGAAGGAGGTGGAATGGAGAGTTGGAGACACTATTTCCCTCAGTTTGGTGGGAACGGGGTGGCTGGGCTGGGCGGGCGGGGGAGTTGTTGAGTTGGTACAATCCAGACCCAGACACTACAGATAGGCTGTCACAGACAGGGTGGTATAGGACTCAATGTACCCACTTGAGGGTAACACACATCCATTTAAGACCACTCAGAGAGCTAGTCAATACTTGTGTACTGTACTGTCTAATTTGGCCTGCTACCAACCATACTTAAATGCTATGCTTTTCTGTGAAGGTTAAATTGCTTTGAACTTCAATGCCTTTTAGACAATGCCTATGGGTTGAAGCCTCAGACACTATGGTGGACCATTCAGAGCTTCAAACATAGTACAGCTATAGTAGTCTTGTGTTATGAGTGACGTCCAACCTGGATTTCTGGAAAACCAAGGAATGTTTGGGAAGTTACTGGAATTTCGCAACCCTAACAATGACCAATGTTCTTTTTTTCCGATGAAGAAACTGTTTTACACAGACATATTTTCCATATAGGTCACATCGGTCTCATTTCCCAATGTGAGTTGTTGTGTCTTGCAGGGACATCAAATGGAGCGTGTGATGACTTGATTCACTCAAGCCAGTGTGTGTGTGTGCACTATGTGTTCTCAAATCACATTATAGGACCTCGCCATATGACTGTAAATACAGTCAAGAGATGATTACTTAATTGTTGGACATAAATAGTTTGTGCTCGTTGCCTCGCTCTCTTCGCTTTCATACTGTCGGAGTGTGTGTGTTAGTGTGTATGTGTACATATGTGCATCCGTCAAGTGTGCGCCTGTGTGTGTTAGCGTATGGCGTGCATCTGGGTGCGTTATAGGCTGCAGAAAGTAATAAATTATCCAGTATCTTCAAGGTTCGCTGAAAGGCAGCTTCCCTACTATTTACGACTCTGAATAGTCCACATTGAACCCAAATGTTACGGAGGAAATGCTTGGGGAGCATCCGAACTTGGTAAATAGAATAGACAGTAGGAAACTCTAATCGTGCTACCGTTGCAGAACAAAATCACTAAGACACATGCTAACTGTCAGGGAAGGATTGATGTTTAGGTCTCTTTTCCTCTCTCTTTTTGTGAGTGTCGGTTTGGTTTGGTGCCCGATTCGACAGAATGTTTTTGCATTTAATCAGGTCTAGGTAGAGGCGATTCAATTCCAATCAAAAATATTTATTGTCCCACAAACACCTCTCGAAATACTAGACTAGGATTTTTTTGGGGAGAGTCAATTCACGTCAATTCTTAACTATTGCACTGATACAAGGTCAGCTCTTATTTAATCCCCTTGATGGTTTCAGGTTAGAACTCAGTTATGGTAATCTGATCCTAGATCTGTGGTTCAGGGACAACTTCTACCTCCTTGAGCCTTAGTGTCCATTTTCCTCTCAACTCTGGACCCATATATGAAAAAACCTAACCCTAACCCTAGAGTACTGATCTAGGATCAGGTTCTCCCTGTCCATATAATCTTAATCATTTTGATTTAAAATGCAAAACTGATCCATGAGCAGTACTCCTACTTTGAAACGTCTGGTGGTTTTGTAATGATAGCAGCTTTCCAAGCAGGTGAAAAGTTCCCTGGTTACATCACTCCACTACTCTCCATGTAGCAGATATAAATGAAAGCCTGGACCAATACAAACATTAACACCCAATAAATTCTGGAGTTCGTTTTGAATGTAGAGCAGTTATTGTAATTTATAGCCTTAGCAAACTGCTGCGGATGAAGGAACTAGGACATTGACATATTTCCATTATTGAGTGTAAATCAAAATGTGTAAGTGTGTTTGGAGTCCAAGCACAACTATTAGTTCTCATACCTAAGGCCTTAGTAATGATAGTAGTGATATTTAGCAGGGAGAATGGCTGGTGTGTATCTGTGTGTCTGTCTGTCTATTTTCTTTCTGTGTCATAGTGTATAAAGAATGTGTGTGTGTTTGTCCCCACGTGGCTCTGCACAAACTAGTGTGTGTGTGTGTGTGTGTCTCTTTGTTATAGGTTGGTGGTTCGTCAGTACAGCCGAGGAGCAGGGTTGGGTGCCGGCCACATACCTGGACTCACAGAACGGCACTAGAGATGACCTGGAACTTAGCACCGTCAGGACAGGAGAAGGTAACACACACACCAGACATTCTCCCTGCTAAATATCACTACCGTCATTACTAAGGCCTTAGGTAACACACACCAGCCATTCTCCCTGCTAAATATCACTACCGTCATTACTAAGGCCTTAGGTAACACACACCAGCCATTCTCCCTGCTAAATATCACTACCGTCATTACTAAGGCCTTAGGTAACACACACCAGACATTCTCCCTGCTAAATATCACTACCGTCATTACTAAGGCCTTAGGTAACACACACCAGCCATTCTCCCTGCTAAATATTACTTCCGTCATTACTAAGACCTTAGATAACACACACCAGCCATTCTCCCTGCTAAATATCACTACCGTCATTACTAAGGCCTTAGGTATGACAACTAATAGCTGTGCTTGGACAGCAGGAACCTCGAGGACCAGGGTCAGAGCAGAAAACAGACATTGTAACAACCCCAGCCAAATGCCCTTTGTTCAAACTACAGGGTTTTCATCAGGGTGGATATTTTGGCACCAGAGCAGATTCCTTCACAGCCCCATGGGAAGTCACTACTTTTTTAAGGAGTCTTGTTTTGTCATGACCTCTTCTTTGCAATAATGTTTAGTCTGACTGTTTGGAGGGCATATTTCATCACTAGAGAATAAGCTCCCTTCCCGTTTGGAGCTTCAGGACGACACTGTAGCGTCTTAGCTGTATGTTACACCCAGACAGGCAGGCAGGCACACACACACATACACAGACATACACACACATACATACATACACACACACACACATACACACGTACACACACACACACATACACACAGACATACACACACATACACACTCACACACACACACACACACATACACACAGACACACACACACACACTCCCCCAGCATTAATGTCATATTGCCTCTGTTTTCCATCAGTATTAGTAACCCATGGAAACTTTCTGGTATAGTGTAATCATTATGCTGTAATGCTTTGTGTGTCATAGACTGCCACCAGGGTATGTAAGGCTCTCTCCCTGTCTCTCATTAAGACATGTTGCTTTATGATCCTCATGCTGGCCCATGGCACTGTTACACTGTAAACTGGCACGCCACATCCCAGCATGTGATGACAGGTCCTCTGCAGCTGCTGTAGCCCCCCAGCTCCCCTTAATGCAGACTGCAGTCACTCCACACACACAGAGAGAGAGAGAGAGAGAGAGACGGGACATATGCTGGGTGGTACTGGGCTGGTAGTGAAAGTCTGTGATAGCCTTTAAGGAAAAACAACGGTCATGTAGCTGGAGCCTGGAGATGCCTAGGGATCTGGGTTAGTCATAGACTGAGACACACTTGCACGGATGTGGATGCAGTCGCAGACACACATACAGAGAGGTAATGCAGACACACACACACACCCCACACATCACATCCCTCCCTCCCATCCCACAAAACACTCCTCTATCAACACCTTCCCAATTAGAGCCTGCCTGCTCAGTTTGCACACACCGCTGCATATCTCATATCTCTGGTAACTATCCTGTCTCCCCTACCCTCTCAGCCCCCCCCCCCCCCCCCCCCATACTTATTAAGCCCCAGTCTGCTGTAATATAAACCAATAGCAGACTGTAGCTAGCTCACTGAGGTGGAACGACAGGGCCTGGTAGGTCTGGTCTATTGGAATTACCCTGAAATAACATCTCCCTTTGTGGCTGTCCCCAATCTGATATTTCAATTAGGAGGTCAATGTGAGAGAGAGAGAGAGAGAGAGAGAGAGAGAGAGAGAGAGAGAGAGAGAGAGAGAGAGAGAGAGAGAGAGAGAGAGAGAGAGAGAGAATCATTTGATTCTGTCCTCCTCTCCTCTCCTCCTTTTCTCCCTCCTCCTCTTCCCTCCATTATGAAAGGAGAGATGACAGTAATTTCACTCTGTCCTCCCTCCTCATCACTCGTTCCTCCATTCTGAAAGTCTGGTTTATGTCCCCTTAGGGAATGCGTTAGGGAAGGGAGGATAACGATGAGGCATCACCAGAAAGCAACGAGTTGGACAGTATCATATAGGGCTGTTTTACTTTACTGTAAGTCAGTGGTGTTGCAAGAGTGGTCCCTGTGTTTAAGGGGGACTGGAATGGAACAGTTTACCAGAGGACGTAGCTAGCTGTTACGGTAGGCTAACAGGCTAACATGGAGATTTACTCGTATCTATTTTCTCCTATACAGTTGCTAGAAAACATATTGGCGACACATTGGACACAGATGTAGTTTGCTGGGCAATCTTAAACCGTGTGTACAGTGTGCTAGGGGCTAGTATGATACTATGCCACACAGATGTAGCATGTCTGTGACAATTTCAAAGGTCCCAGATACACACAACTTTATGAATGGGGATTGGCCTTCTAGAATACAGTCATGGGGAGAACCTTGAAGACCAACAGATTTCAGTATTCCAGATGCACTAGATTGGATGATACTGTATAATACATCATGTCATCATTGCCATATAAATAGAATGAATAGAACATGCTTGGAAGCTCTAACCCTGGCAATTTGTAATGAATGGAGATGCCCTTTCTATTCATTCTATTTCTATGACCATTGCTTCCTCTTTTAATGAGGGGCTTGTTCTCTTTTGGTCTTTCGGTGACAGACGATATGGAGAATAGTTTCTCTGGGCAGTTGTCTCTCGTAAGGAAATATCTCTGTATTTATGACCTAGCTCTCACTGTCCTCAGGATATCCGTGGATCCACTCTTCCTTTATAATGTCAGTATAACTCAGTCCCCAGAAATGCACACCCTTTAAGAAGTTTAGCTGCTGACTGTGAAATGTGTATGTGAACTTGGAAGACAGATATGATAAATACCTTAGGAGTGATTATCATGACAACAATGAATATAAATTATTTTATTTTAAAACATTTGCTACTACACTATTACAAATCATGTTATTTACTATGCATAGCTTAAAATGGACACCATTTATTTGCTGGCTTTCCATGTAATGTTTTCACCATCCTACTAACTAACGACAGCTTTTTGCCTTCTTTCAGTTTGTAATACGCTTCTTAAGTTCATGTTTCTTTGTTTTTCTTTGGTTTCCCCATCCATCCCTTCATCAGTTACTAAAAGACGCAAGGCTCACCTGAAGAGACTGGACCGCAGATGGACCTTGGGGGGCATAGTGAACCGCCAGCAGAGTCGAGGTGAACACACAGTCAACACACACACACACAGACACACACAGAGACACGCGCACACACACACACACAGACACGCACGCACGCACGCACACACACACACACACACACACACACACAGACACACACAGTCAACACACACACACACGCAAACACACACACAAACACACACACTCTCAAGTGGCATCTCTCAGAACCACACATATACACACTCATTCCTTCATGGTAAGAAAACAAATTTACATCCATGACAGTCAGCCAACAACAACTCCATCTTAACTCCAACATCACAAACAGCACATTGGGTGGCCTTTAGATTTCAGCTCCCAGAGTTAAATTTACCACACTTTTCTCTACTTTTAGAAAGACAATTATTTCTTCATTTTGCCCTGCGTAACAGAATAATTGACTAACATTAAACAGATTAGATAAGGAGCGGTATTTGGTTCAGACAGCACAAAAGTAACAACCTTGTTGGCTAATAACTGTTGTAAACTTTACTGTGTGTAGTGCTACTTCATGTGCTTATGTTGTATAAGAACCCTCCAGGTTCAGAACCATTCGATTTTAATAACTGAGTTTTTTGGTAAACATTTTTTGGTAAAGATTAAAAGGGACATGAAAATGTTCTCACACTCTTGAATGTATCATGTTGCCAAGCTCCCCTGGACACTGGAGTACTGGAATATGTCTCAATGGAGAGTTGCTGTTGAGTCATAATGAATTCTCGTTGATGGACCCAGACAGACATGAGCCTATGTCTCATGTTGTCTGGTATCAAATCAAAACTGGTCCAAGGTCAGCTTTGCAATGGTTATGGTTAGAATCTGGGGATGGTAAGCTGATCCTAGATCTGTGGCTATTAAAAGGCTACTTCTACCCGTATTTGATCAAAAAAGTAGTCACTATATTGAAGGATGAAGTTGCTCTATACGCTGATTGAAGGTCAGTTAGATGTTCTCTGTCATTGATATACTGTAGATTGGATTTGGGGAGGCTGATCCTAGATCTGTGTCTGTGGCCTACTCCTACCGAGAGCCAGAGTCATTTCTCATCCCTCTAATAAGACCAGGAGAGATCAGCCATCTGTTTTTAGGATTAGTTTTAACCCACTCACCCCGCCTGGCTCTGCCTTTTGTCTGTTTGTTTACTGAAACTGACCTGGGACTCATATAACCTCCCAGGCTCCCAATAACATACATGGGGCGTGACTCACCTGGTATAGCTTAACTCTGATCCCAGAACAGTCAAAGAGACAATAAACATAAGTGATTCAACAGAGCTGATCCAACAGAGGGGGAACTCGGGTCAAATGGTATGATTTAGTGCCTGTGTTGATTAATTTCATACAGGCCTACGATAACCTATATACTTTAGGGCCAGGCGTTTTTCCTAACCACATGACCTGACCAGGAAAAACTCCACTTCCTAGTTGTAGTCTTACTAATCTATAACTAGGAACATAGCTTTTCCTGGTTGGATGCTCAGGAAAACCTCCTGGTCCTATTTATACTGTACAGGAGAAAAAAACCTAGTTCAGTACTAAGCCAACGGTCTCCAGTTGATGACTACATCCAGCTCTTTTGGATGCTTTTGGTGAATGTACTTAGCCTAATATCGCCTGCCAGAGCCTTGCCATAGTCTCCAGCCAGAGCTGAGGGAAGCAGTTACAGTTAGGTAGCTAGCTAGCTCTCTCAGAGGGGTAACAGCAGGAGTAATGGGCTGGCTGGAATAGGCTGGTGGAAAGTGTGAATGTGGGGCAGTAGCCCATATTGAAGCCTGGCTTTAATCACAGACAGGAGCCTATAACAGTGGATGGATCCACTTCTGTGTGTGTGAGTCACTGAAGTAACTGTTGCCATGAATGAATAAGGACTCGCATTGCGTGAGGCATATTTATTAGGCATTGTCATATCATATATTTTTTATAGTACTACTGATATTGATTACTGCATTGTTGGGAAAGAGCTAACAAGAAAGGCATTTCACTGTACTAGAGCACGTGACAATAAAAACGTGAAACTTGATATCAATATCCTATATCAATATCATATCCAATATCCCAGATGACTTCACTTGAGACTCTGGATCAACATACATGCCTGTGTAAGGATGCTGTACTAGAGACATCAACCAGCAAAAACAGACAGTAGTGATATATCGTCCCCTGTTGCGTTTGACACATTTTAACAGCCAGGGTTTCAGGTCAGTTGGGAGTCCAGTGTTGCTTTCAGCTGGCACCATCAGAAGCACTGCTGCATGCTAACAAATTTATGACTTCTGGATTAGAGGCCTTGTTTCCACTCTACAAAATGATCCCACCATACTGCTGACTGTGGTCGGAAACTTTGTTTCTGAATTTGTTCCTTTTTCCACCACCGATTCTAATTCCCCTCTCTCCTAGCAGGCTCGAGAGCGAGAGCGAGCTCGCGCAGAGAGAAGATCCTCGAGAGAGACGAATCTGGATATCTTTCTTATATATATATATATATATATATATATATATATATATTATATATATATATATATATATCAGGTGGGGAGAACAAGTATTTGATACATACCGATTTTGCAGGTTTTCCTACTTACAAAGCATGTAGAGGTCTGTAATTTTTATCATAGGTACACTTCAACTGTGAGAGACGGAATCTAAAACAAAAATCCAGAAAATCACATTGTATGATTTTTAAGTAATACATTTGCATTTTATTGCATGACATAAGTATTTGATCACCTACCAACCAGTAAGAATTCTGGCTCTCACAAACCTGTTAGTTTTTCTTGAAGAAGCGCTCCTGTTCTCCACTCATTGCCTGTATTAACTGCACCTGTTTGAACTCGTTACCTGTATAAAAGACACCTGTCCACACACTCAATCAAACAGACTCCAACCTCTCCACAATGGCCAAGACCAGAGAGCTGTGTAAGGACATCAGGGATAAAATTGTAGACCTGCACAAGGCTGGGATGGGCTACAGGACAATAGGCAAGCAGCTTGGTGAGAAGGCAACAACTGTTGGTGCAATTATTAGAAAATGGAAGAAGTTCAAGATGACGGTCAATCACCCTCGGTCTGGGGCTCCATGCATGATCTCACCTCGTGGGGCATCAATGATCATGAGGAAGGTGAGGGATCAGCCCAGAACTACACGGCAGGACCTGGTCAATGACCTGAAGAGAGCTGGGACCACAGTCTCAAAGAAAACCATTAGTAACACACTACGCCGTCATGGATTAAAATCCTGCAGCGCACGCAAGGTCCCCCTGCTCAAGCCAGCGCATGTCCAGGCCAATGACCATCTGGATGATCCAGAGGAGGAATGGGAGAAGGTCATGTGTTCTGATGAGACAAAAATAGAGCTTTTTGGTCTAAACTCCACTCGCCGTGTTTGGAGGAAGAAGAAGGATGAGTACAACCCCAAGAACACCATCCCAACCATGAAGCATGGAGGTGGAAACATCCTTCTTTGGGGATGCTTTTCTGCAAAGGGACAGGACGACTGCACCGTATTGAGGGGAGGATGGATGGGGCCATGTATCGCGAGATCTTGGCCAACAACCTCCTTCCCTCAGTAAGAGCATTGAAGATGGGTCGTGGCTGGGTCTTCCAGCATGACAATGACCCAAAACACACAGCCAGGGCAACTAAGGAGTGGCTCCGTAAGAAGCATCTCAAGGTCCTGGAGTGGCCTAGCCAGTCTCCAGACCTGAACCCAATAGAACATCTTTGGAGGGAGCTGAAAGTCTGTATTTCCCAGCGACAGCCCCGAAATCTGAAGGATCTGGAGAAGGTCTGTATGGAGTAGTGGGCCAAAATCCCTGCTGCAGTGTGTGCAAACCTGGTCAAGACCTACAGGAAACGTATGATCTCTGTAATTGCAAACAAAGGTTTCTGTACCAAATATTAAGTTCTGCTTTTCTGATGTATCAAATACTTATGTCATGCAATAAAATGCAAATTAATTACTTAAAAATCATACAATGTGATTTTCTGGATCTCTACATGCTTTGTAAGTAGGGAAACCTGCAAAATCGGCAGTGTATCAAATACTTGTTCTCCCCACTGTATATCTGTCTCTCTGTCTCTCTGTCTCTCTGTCTCTCTGTCTCTCTGTCTCTCTGTCTCTCTCTCTCTCTCTCTCTCTCTCTCTCTCTCTCTCTCTCTCTCTCTCTCTCTCTCTCTCTCTCTCTCTCTCTCTCTCTCTCTCTCTCTCTCCCCTTCCTCTTTACTCATTCCTTTTATCGCTGTTCTGAAGTGGTAATGAGTGTTATGAATGCCAGGCGAGGCATGTATCAGACAGCACAGATAGGGGGCCTTGAGGCAGCATGCACAGACAGTTTCTAGTAGTGCTGAGTGATTAGTGCTTTTTGGGGTCGATTCGGTTTCAGTTCGATATAAAAAAAGAAATATGTTTTTTGATAATACAATTTAAACATTAAGTGCATTATGAAATAACGACATTAAAATGATTTTAGAGCTTTTAATGGAAATTCCAAAAACAAAATAGTGAACATTAAATTGCCAAAACATTGAAAATATTCCATTGTCTCTGTCAGGTCCACATTGGGTAACCATCAATAGAAAAATAAAAAATGACTATGAAATAATATTTCACTTGTGTATATTACTTTGTTTTTATTTGATTACTTTATTATCTTTCATTCCTTAAAGTCATCATCTAATCTCTGCTCAGGCAGTAGCAGCCAAACAGCTAGTCAACGTTATCTCTGTGCTGCCCATACTGTCATCCTATTTAGCTAAGCTAGCTTGCCTTACTATGCTGCAGAGCTGTCTGACAAAATAATTGTATTAGTCCTTCAAAGTAGATAAGGCATACTTTCACAAACTGTCTCTATCCCTCTCTCTCATCATTGTGTACATTCCTCTCTCATTCAGTCTATGCGGTCTGTGTGTAGAGAAAGTGTATTCATCTCTGTCTGAGCCGGAAAGAACAGGTGCAATGGATTATGGTCGTTGTAGTTAATTACCAAGTTCCTGCGCTGAACTAGATTGAATATTTGCTTAATGAAAACTACAACTCCCTTCAGCCAGGCATTCCACATAGTTCTTGACTTGATTAAATCCGTAAACATGGGTACCCTCATAGATATCATCCTGACTAACTTACCCTCTAAATACACCTCCGCTGTCTTCAACCAGGATCTCAGTGATCACTGCCTTATTGCCTGATTCCGTAACGGGTCCGCGGTCAAACGACCACCCCTCATCACTGTCAAACGCTCCCAAAAACACTTCAGCGAGCAGGCCTTCCTAATTGACCTGGCCCAGGTATCCTGGATGGATATAGATCTCATTCCGTCAGTAGAGGATGCCTGGTTGTTCTTTAAAAGTAATTTCCTCTCAATCTTAAATAAACATGCCCCATTCAAAAAATACAGAACTAAGAACAGATATAGCCCCTGGTTCTCCTCAGACTTGACTGCCCTTGACCAGCACAAAAACATCCTGTGGCGTACTGCATTAGCATCAAATAGCCCCCGCGATATGCAACTTTTCAGGGAAGTTAGGAACCAATATACACAAGCAGTTAGGAAAGCAAAGGCTAACTTTTTCAAACAGAAATTTGCATCCTGTAGCACTAACTCCAAAAGGTTTTGGGACACTGTAAAGTCCATGGAAAATAAGAGCACTTCCTCCCAGCTGCCCAATGCACTGAGGCTAGGAAACACTATCACCACTGATAAATCTACAATAATCGAGAATTTCAACAAGCATTTTGCTACGGCTGGCCATGCTTTCCACCTGGCTACCACTACCCCGGCCACCAGCTCTGCACCCTCCGCTGCAACTTGCCCATGCCCCCCCCGCTTCTCCTTCACACAAATCCAGACAGCTGATGTTCTGAAAGAGCTGCAAAATCTGGACCCCTACAAATCATCTGGGCTAGACAATCTGGACTCTTTCTTTCTAAAACTAGCCGCCGAAATTGTCGCAACCCCTGTTACTAGCCTGTTCAACCTCTCTTTCGTAACGTCTGAGATCCCCAGAGATTGGAAAGCTGCCGCGGTCATCCCCCTCTTCAAAGGGGGTGACACTATAGATCCAAACTGTTACAGACCCATATCCATCCTGCCCTGCCTTTCAAAAGTTTTTGAAAGCCAAGTTAACAAACAGATCACCGACCATTTCGAATCCCACCGTACCTTCTCCGCTATGCAATCCGGTTTCCGAGCTGGTCATGGGTGCACTTCAGCCACGCTCAAGGTCCTAAACGATATTATAACCGCGATCGATAATAGACAGTACTGTGCAGCCGTTTTCATTGACCTGGCCAAGGCTTTCGACTCTGTCAACCACCGCATTCTTATTGACAGACTAAATAGCCTTGGTTTCTCAAATGACTGCCTCGCCTGGTTCACCAACTACTTCTCTGATAGAGTTCAATGTGTCAAATCGGAGGGCCTGTTGTCTGGACCTATGGCAGTCTCTATGGGGGTGCCACAGGGTTCAATTCTTGGGCCGACTCTTTTCTCTGTGTATATCAATGACGTCGCTCTTGCTGCTGGTGACTCTCAGATCCACCTCTACGCAGACGACACCATTTTGTATACATCTGGCCCTTCATTGGACACTGTGTTAACAAACCTCCAAACGAGCTTCACTGCCATACAACACTCCTTCAGTAGCCTCCAACTGCTCTTAAACACTAGTAAAACTAAATGCATGCTCTTCAACCGAACGCTGCTTGCACCCGCCCACCCGACTAGAATCACTACTCTCGACGGGTCTGACCTAGAGTATGTGGACAACTACAAATACCTAGTGTGTCTGGTTAGACTGTAAACTCTCCTTCCAGACTCACATTAAGAATCTCCAATCCAAAGTTAAATCTAGAATCGGTTTCCTATTTCGCAACAAAGCCTCCTTCACTCATGCTGCCAAACATGCCCTCGTAAAACTGACTATCCTACCGATCCTTGACTTCGGCGATGTCATTTACAAAATAGCCTCCAACACTCTACTCAGCAAATTGGATGTAGTCTATCACAGTGCCATCCGTTTTGCCTCCAAAGCCCCATATACTACCCACCACTGTGACCTGTACGCTCTTGTTGGCTGGTCCTCACTACATATTTGTCGCCAAACCCACTGGCTCCAGGCCATCTATAAATCACTGCTAGGCAAATCCCCGCCTTATCTTAGCTCATTGGTCACCATAGCAACACCCACCCGTAGTATGCGCTCCAGCAGGTATATCTCACTGGTCATCCCCAAAGCCAACACCTCCTTTGGCCGCCATTCCTTCCAGTTCTCTGCTGCCAATGACTGGAACAAATTGCAAAAATCTCTGAAGCTGGAGACACTTATCTCCCTCACTAACTTTAAGCATCAGTTGTCAGAGCACCTTACCGATCACTGCACCTGTACACAGCCCATCTGAAATTAGCCCGCCCAACTACCTCATCCCTATATTGTTATTTATTTTGCTCATTTGTACCCCAGTATCTCTATTTGCACATCATCTCTTGCACATCTATCATTCCAGTGTTAATACTAATTGTAATTATTTTGCACTATAGCCTATTTATTGCCTTACCTCCATAACTTGCTACATTTGCACACACTGTATATATACTTATTTCTGTTGTATTTTTGACTTTGTTTTGTTTTACCCCATATGTAACTCTGTGTTGTTGTTTTTATCGCACTGCTTTGCTTTATCTTGGCCAGGTCGCAGTTGTAAATGAGAACTTGTTCTTAACTGGCTTACCTGGTTAAATAAAGGTTAAATAAAAAAAAAATTTTTTTTCATTATTATTTGATTTCTCTCTAGAGAAATGGTGCGTTGGGCTCACAAAAAACGAAAAAACTAAATGGAATTCATGTAATTGAACCGACGTCGGTCAATTAGTTGGTTGGTCAAGTTGTTTAACAACTAAAGAAAATAAATGTGGTTAATCGCTCAGCACTAATTTCTAGGAAGCTAAAAGTGGAGTTAAGCGTATCAGGGAAATTATCATTGACCATAAAGGATACTTAGAATTACTCTACGCTGAGTGTTCTCTCCATAGACATAAATAATGGATAAATACTGTATCTCATGGTTCGCTCTATGAAGATGTACTCTTATCATTAGACATGGAATCTTTCTTAATTTATCTTTCCACGATTACATAAATACTCTACCCACCTCCTTCTCAACCTTATTGGAAGAGTTTTGAGAAAGAGGTGAGGAGAGAGGATGGAAGGAATTGAGGAAAGATGAATTGAGAAAGAAGCATGCATGAGTTGGAGAGAGGAAAGTAGGGAGTCTAACCTTACTATATTAATGAATTGTCTTCTTAACGACTTATCTGAAACTACCCAGAAACACTCTTTACTAATGGAATACTTGACCCATTTACTAAGAAATAAAATATTTTAGAAAAGAGATAGAAAACAAGATAAGGAGGGAAGATAAGTGCCAGGTGCTAAATCTTATTGATTAACACCACAGAGGAGGAAGCAAAATGGATTACTTTGCTGTTTTTCCTATTTGGTCAAATTCACACATTCTGACCCTACGTCGGGTCAATATGTCTAAAGTTGTTAACTTTATTGCCAAAATACTCCCAAAGAAGACAAAGGAGGAAGCAAAATGGATCACTAAGTCCACTTACTCTGACCCTACCTCAGGTCAATGGGCCTGCCTTTGGTAACTTTATTGCCAAAAAGACTCCCAAGCAAAACAAATGGATCCCTTGTTATTGCATTGTTCGGTCAAACCCACAAATTCTTCTGACCGAATATTAGGTCAGTACAGTCTGATTGGCTGGTCCAATGAAATCCATAGGAGTTGATTGGCTAGTGACAGCAGGATGACCTCACCTCATTGATTACCTCATGTGTTGTTGATAGGGCTCTATCCAGTCTCCTCCACCCTGTTCCTCGGTCTGTATGTCTAGAGAACAGGATCAGTTACAGCAGAGTCTAATCTAATTTATGGCAGTGTGCTGATAACCTCCTTCTCAACTCACTGTTTGGGGCTTTGGACCCAGCTGACTGGGCAAACACTCACTAAGACGGTGTGAGACACACGTACACGTCCAGAGAGCACGCTCACACAAATGATATGTTTGAATACACAAGCACCCTCACAGGCACGCACACACAAACACACACACACACACACACACTGACACAAACTCACACCACATTCCCTCTCCACCTGCAAGTACTCAGCCTTCCTCAACCACACACACACACACACCCTACACACACACACACACACACCCTACACACACACACCCTACACACACACCCCACCCAACACACACTCCCTGTGCTACCCAGTCCCAAAGCCCCAAGACATTCCTTACAGCTCTCTATAATTGACCCAAGCCCCTCAGCTCCCTCTGGAATGACAGGCAGCAGTAGAATGTGTTCCCCCTAAAACCTCACCTCACCCCACCCATTGTTAACAGACTGACACACACACACTTTCACACCTCTGAGATTCCTCTCCTGTTTCTCATGTTTAACTTCCCCATCCCACCCAGGGACACATTGGCTGTGTCTCAAATTACACTATATTAATCCTATAGTACACTACTTTTGACCAGATATGACACCCTATTTCTTGCATAGTGCACTGCTATTGACCTAGTCAGAAGTAGTGTACTATATGGGGCAGTATAGGGGATCATTTGAGTGCACTATATGGGGCAATATAGGGGATAATTTGTGACACAAGCCATTCTCACTGGACCAACTCTGATTCTTCTCTCTCCCTGCCTTTAGCCCCATTCTCTCCCATGCCCCTGTATATCCCATTGAAGCAACAGCTGCTTAAAGTGGCCCTATATATCTACCCCCCCCCCCCTACCCCTCATACTTACACTTGGCTTATCCCACTCTCCCTCCACAGTGGTTGAATCCCCCTACGGATCATTCCACTATAGAGTGGCCGCGGGGGATTTCCCTTATCTGGCTCTGGGCAGCCAAGTGGAGCCAGATAAAGATCTGAGAGCTTCCACAGGTTCCTTATCTCCAACAGGGAGGCTCCATACTGCAGCTCTGGAGCTCTGCAGCCATTTCAAAGGGATCCAGTCTGCAGGGTTGTTCACTCAACAGTGTTTATTATGGGTCCACAGTGGATCCTGGCTGGGTTGCCTCTGTCACATTCTAGCTGTGATAAGGAAGGGTTTGAGAGGGTTGTGGAATTGATGAGAGGTATGGCCAGTAGAGGGTGCTGTTTTGTGTTGGTATTGGAGGATAAGCAAGGAATGGATACAGTCAGGGTATGCATGCTGGCTTGAACAAATAAAACAGATAAAATGGCTAACTGGGTGATTTCGGATACTTTTGTGTTGCTTTCTAAGAGAACATTGATTGATTGAAATACTTTTGTTGTTGCAGTAGATATCTCTTGACTGGGAAATTCAAGGGGAGTTTTCCAAGGGGTTTATTACTGGGATTTACTGAACTGAAATGTTGATTCTTTCCTTTTTTTCACTGATCCTTCCATCCCCCGTGTAGAAGAGAAGTACATGACGGTGCAGCCGTACGCCAGCCAGGGGAAGGACGAGATCGGCTTTGAGAAAGGGGTCACCGTGGAGGTCATCCAAAAGAACCTGGAGGGCTGGTGGTACATCAGGTGAGAATCACCTCCTCCCATTGGTCCTTACTGTGGAGGGCTTCCTCTGATTGGTCCTCACCATGGAGTGACAGGCACCTTAGCCAATGGAAAACATTGCTCCGGTTAAGAATTCACACCTATTTGATTATATTAGTGATTTTATGTTGGATGGGCCCAGTTCCAATTCCAATTAAATCTTTCACTCCCTTCAACAAGGCCGGTAAGTGAATGATCATATTGGAATCGGGCCAAAAGTTAATGTACATTTTCTCACACTCTAATGAAATGAGTCTCCAGAGAGAGCTTTTATATCATTATTTTCAGAGATGTGATCAAGGCAGAGGTACATCTCATCTGTTTAATGGTATTGGAAACGTTTAACATATGTGGCTCATTGGAGATCCGGTGAATGCGTTGTGTGTGATCTGTTCAGTGGAAGAGCGACAGAGTGTGTGTTGTATACTCAGTAAACGTGTATTTCCTGGCCTGTTGTTTGTCATTTCCTCGTGGCCCGAGGGCCTTGTGAGTTCCACTCTCCAGCTGATGATTACCACATGCTACTCTGGACTGCTCTGGCTTAAAGAACAGTCCTGTTACATCTCTCATGTATTATCCACACACCACAGGCAGCTGGAGGCACCTTAATTGGGGAGGACGGGCTCATAGTAATGGCTGGAACGGAATCAATGGAATGGTATCGATCACATCAAACGCATGGTTTCCTTGTGTTTGATAACATTCCATTGACTCCATTCCAGCCATTAATATGAGCCGTTCTCCCCCCCGGCAGCCTACTGGCTCACACACACAACAGTGTTCTACTGCTCTGCTCAGAATCAGTCTGTTCTTTTATGTGTATGGGGACACCTAGTGGTCATAGACAGTCAGTGGGAGAATAAACATTTACATTTACATTTTAGTCATTTAGCAGACGCTCTTATCCAGAGCGACTTACAGTTAGCGCATACATTATTTTATCGAACCCACAACCCTGGCGTTTGACATAAAGACTCACTTTGACATTGTAAATAATTCTCGCTTACTTGTCAACCTTGGCAGAAGATGTGATAAGATGTCATGTTTTACTGCTGATGTACCAGTGTTATTACTGAGGGACATAAAGTGGAAGTAATCACAGTGTATTGCTTGTGATGACTTTGTAGTCAACACAAGATGCACTTTCTGACCGGTAAGGGTTACTATTTGACCGGTAAGGGTTACTATTTGACCGGTGAGTAAACTTCCATTCTCCTCCCCTATTCTGCTACTAGGTACCTGGGGAAGGAGGGCTGGGCCCCGGCCTCATACCTGAAGAAGATGAAGGAGGACTTCTCATCCCCTGGCCGGAAGAAGACCCTGACAGGCCCTGTGGAGATCATAGGCAACATCATGGAGATCAGCAACCTGCTCCAGAAGAAGTCCAGCAGTGAGAAGGTAAGGTTTTAAGATTTCACTTTTAACTCACGATTTCTCTATGATTGAACTTTTAGTAAACTTTCAGTTAATTTTTTTTACTGTAAAGTGTGTTGCCATTTTAATTGCAGTTTAAATAAAGTTGCATTTGATTTGATTAAAAGGATTTCCAAACGGATGGAGATGCCACCAGTCCTGAGCGCCACATCTCAAAGAGTGAGATCAGCCTGCCCATGCCCTATGCCCCAGGTTACAATCCCAGTCCCGACCACGGCCCCAGCCCTGGCCCAGGTCCGAGCCCCAGTCCTGGGCTGAGTTCTGGGTCTGGGATGGGTACCTCCAGTCCTAGCCTGGGCCCTGGTGCTAGTGGCCCTCTACAGGACAGTAAGGGGAAGACAGAGCCTGGTTCTCCTGCTGTAGCACGTGTCGCTCCACACAGAGTGTCGATAGGTGAGTGTCATGAATTATGGAGTTGTATGGTGATTCAAATTAGACTATTCACTCGACTGAAGTAAAATATTATTGTTTTCTTTTTGCATAGGCATTGAGGCTATAGGTAAGACATGGAAAGCCGAAGGTGTATTGTGTGAATATAATATTTGGGCGCTAATTTACAGTGCCTTGCAAAGGTATTCATCCCCCTTGGCATTTTTTTCTATTTTGTTGCATTACAACCTGTAATTTAAATGGATTTGTATTTGTATTTCATGTAATGGACATACACAAAATTGTCCAAATTAGTGAAGTGGAATGAAAATAAATAACGGAAAAGTGGTGCGTGCATATGTATTCACCCCCTTTGCTATGAAGCCCCTAAATAAGATATGGTGCAACCAATTACCTTCAGAGTCGCATAAGTAGTTAAATAAAGTCCACCTGTGTGCAATCTAAGTGTCACATGATCTGTCAGGGTTGGGTTATAAAAATATATCAGAAACTTTGAACATCTCATGGAGCACCATTAAATCCATTATTAAAAAATTTAAAGAATATGGCACCACAACAAACCGGCCAAGAGAGGGCCGCCCACCAAAACTCACGGACCAGGCAAGGAGGGCATTAATCAGAGAGGCAACAAAGAGACCAAAGATAACCCTGAAGGAGCTGCAAAGCTCCACAGCGGAGATTGGAGTATCTGTCCATAGGACCACTTTAAGCCGTACACTCCACAGAGCTGGGCTTTACGGAAGAGTGGCCAGAAAAAAGGCATTTCTTAAAGAAAAAAATAAGCAAACATATTTGGTGTTCGCCAAAAGCCATGTGGGAGACTCCCCAGATGAGACTAAAATTGAGCTTTTTGGCCATCAAGGAAAACGCTATGTCTGGCGCAAACCCAACACCTCTCATCACCCCGAGAACACCATCCAATGTTTTTCATCGGCAGGGACTGGGAAACTGGTCAGAATTGAAGATATGATGGATGGCGCTAAATACAGGGAAATTCTTCAGGGAAACCTGTTTCAGTCTTCCAGAGATTTGAGACTGGGACGGAGGTTCACCTTCCAGCAGGACAATGACCCTAAACATACTGCTAAAGCAACACTCGAGTGGTTTAAGGGGAAACATTTAAATGTCTTGGAATGGCCTAGTCAAAGCCCAGACCGCAATCCAATTGAGAATCTGTGGTATGACTTGCTGTACACCAGCGGAACCCATCCAACTTGAAGGAGCTGGAGCAGTTTTCCCTTGAAGAATGGGCAAAAATCCCAGTAGCTAGATGTGCCAAGCTTATAGAGACATACCCCAAGATACTTGCAGCTGTAATTGCTGCAAAAGGTCACTCTACAAAGTATTGACTCTGGGGGGGTCAATACTCAAGCTCAAGTTTTCTGTTTTTTTTGTCTTATTTCTTGTTTGTTTCACAAGAAAACATATTTAGCATCTTCAAAGTGGTAGGCATGTTGTGTAAATCAAATGATACAAACCCCCCCCCACAAAAATCAATTTTAATTCCAGGTTGTAAGGCAACAAAATAGGAAAAATGCCAAGTGGGGTGAAGACTTTCGCAAGCCACTGTATATCTATTAGACTAATATTTGGGTGCTGGGACATATGTGTGACTAATATTTGCCTAATAAAGTGCAATAAAAACGTATTTAGTGCTGGGTGATATAACATTTTGATTGGGGTTTTACTGATATACTAAGGTTTGTACTCGTCTGTTGTGTGTTTTACTACTACTAATTGCACTTCTATCATTCCTAAATTTGACACTAAATGATGCTAATCTATAATTCCATTCATTAGGCTCTCCCAACCTCCGACAAAAACCTCCTCCTAGAAGAGAAATGAATCTGGTAAGTCACTCTCAAATACAGTATGTATCAGAAAATGTTTTTTACACTTGAACATAGAACATTGAACTCAAAATGGTTCTTTTTCTACTCCTCTTGTTTGTGTAGGGCTTCCAGTTACCCAAGCCACCAGAGCCACCTACTGTGGAAGCAGAGTACTACACCATCGCAGAATTCCAGTCCTGCATCTCTGATGGCATCAGTTTCCGTGGAGGACAAAAAGCTGATGTAAGCACCCAGAACCATAGAGATAGATACAGTATCTATACAGGTATTTCGTTTCTGTATAGATTGATAGGCTACTGTCTATATGATCTATCTCTATTCTCAGAAATGCTGGACATCTGTTGGTATTGAAATCTGACTGAGCACATTAAATATTAATGACAACTGACAGCTCACCAGAGACACATCTGCTGAAGCTGCATAGATATGGCCTTGACGGTCTGTTGAATTTGATGATGCTGACAAAATACTGTATAGAATCCAACTGGAGGTCAGGGTGGACATTTGAAGTTAGAAGAAAGGAGCTTTTGTTTAGATTTCTCCACCCACCACACCAAGAAGGATACCCAGAATATTGATGACATGTGTCTATAAAATAAACAGCTACAGATGTAGGATATTAATTTGAGCCAGTTTGCTACAGCAGGAAAATAATCCTGCAGCAACAAGAAATGTGAATTGTTATGTGGATTATAATTAATGGACATTTTTGTAGGAGCTGATAAATTTTTCGAAAATCAAGTCTGAAATTTCAGAGTGGAATTTACTAACTTCAGAAGCCTTTTTAAAACTCAAATACACTACAAGTTGTAAATATCTTGCATTGCAGGAAAGTTGTCCTGCGACAGTGCAACCTTCAAATGAAGGACCTACATCTGTAAATGGGGGGATGATGGTGTGATAGTGGAGGGGATGTTAGAGGGAGGGAGGGAACAGCAGTAGAGAAATAGGACACTTTTACTCTGACCCTCTCCCTATGCAATATAGATTCCAAGTTCTCCTGCAACAGGGTGATCAAATTAAGATCCTACATCTGTATAACAGCAACACTCAAGAGATCTACATGTATGAGACACATTGTCTGCCTGCTTCCCAAATGGCACCCTATTCCCTATATAGGGCACTACTTTTGACCAGGGCCCATTGTTAAAAATGCAATTTTCATCAGTGTGAAGTTCAAGTGAGACTGAATGTTGATTATAAAGCAATAGTTCCATCAAGTGTGTCTGACTGTTGGTTATCTTCCCGCCTGTCTTCTCTGTAGGTCATAGAGAAGAACTCCGGGGGCTGGTGGTATGTCCAGATCGGGGAGACGGAGGGTTGGGCCCCCTGCTCCTACATCGACAAACGCAAGAAGCCCAACCTCAGCCGACGAACCAGCACGCTCACCCGCCCCAAAGTCCCGCCCCCAGCTCCGCCCGTCAAGAAGCAAGACTCAGAGGAGACGCCCTCACCTTCACCCAGTCACTCCATCTCCTCCTCCTCCAAAGCCCCAGAATCCCCCAGCCGGCCCGCAGTATACGAGGAACCGGAATACGATGTTCCCGCTGTTGGGTGCGAGGGCGAGTCGGACACAGATTCCCTGAAGGGAAGAAACAATACATCGCCCCCTGGAGGGGAATATCAACAGTGTGGTCTGTGAGAAGTACCGTAGTTCTCCTCTGGTCTGCAAGACCTCCCCTGTTATTATCAGCCATAGAAGAAGATCCTTCAGGACCGTTGAAGAGATGGCCAAGGAGGAATGTATCTATGAGAACGATGGCTTCAGGCGCAGTAGTGGTGATGAAGGGGCTTCGGCCAAAGGCTGCGGCGGTTCCAACTCCCCAAGGATCTACCACTCCTCGACTGTACCCCGCAAACCCTCAGGGTCTTCACCTCTAGCAGGGGGAAAGCCATTAAAGAAGATCACCCCGGAGCTGAGCCGGAGCCAGTCCCTAGCCAAAGCCGACACCTGCCCCTGGTCGTCCTCAGATGAATCGGGTAGAGGTTCAAGGAAACCCCCAGGCATCAGGACGGTGGAGCAGAGGATAGGCCAGAGCCCCTCCACCAAGCCCAAGCCCTCGGTGAGGCCTAAACCTCTCCTCACCACGAAGTCAGAGCCCCAATGCCCCGAGAGGATGGACATCACTTCCCTGAGACGCCAGTTGAGGCCCACGGGTCAGCTCCGGCATACCGTCCATGGGCTCAAAGACTCCGAGACGGCTTCCGTCATCTCATCGGAGGACTCCCATTCTTCCCGCAACAGCACCTCAGACCTCTCCTCCATCTACTCCAAGGGGAGCCGTAGAGATTCGGATCTGGAGGGGTTCAACCTATACCGGACCACAGATGCCTACGACAAGGTCCAGGAGTCGGAGCTGAGCTTCCCAGCTGGGGTGGAGGTGGAAGTCCTGGAGAGGCAGGAGAGCGGCTGGTGGTACATCCGTTGGCGGGACGAGGAAGGCTGGGCGCCCACCTTCTACTTGGAGCCCATCCGCCAAGGGAGGGACGGCGGTGGGTCCGAGTCCGACGGACAGCGCTCTGGGTCGGGCAGCGGCACCGGGAGCAAGTCCAACAGCCTGGAGAAGAATGAGCAGCGTGTGCTGGCGCTCAACGACATCAACCTCCAGGGACTCACCAACCACCACCAGGTACACCACACGCCGGGGGGTCTGAGGTCGAGGAACACTCCCCCAATCCCCTCCAAGCCTCCGGGGGGCTTCTCCAAGCCGGCTGTGCTGGTCAACGGAGCCGTGAGAATGAGGAACGGTGGGGTGAGACCGCAGTCCGCCGTCAGACCCCAGTCCGTGTTCGTGTCTGCGCCACAGCCCGCCATGGACAGTCAACACTACATGACGAATTCCCTGAGGCGGAATGAGTCATTGGGCGCCCACAACCAGTACCGTACCGACCAGTACCGCTCTGGTTCCGCTACCCTCGGCGTGCGCCGTAACTCCTCCTTCAACGCAGTGCATGCGCAGCCCGTCACAGTTGAGACCCGATCGAGACCCTCAGAGCGCTCTATCACCACCAGGGGGTCTTCGGCGGAACGATTTGGCGCTGGCGGCGGGACGGACACCTTGAGCAGGGTTGGGGTTGTTGTGCAGCGTAACGGTATCCCCGTCTCCACAGTCAGGCCCAAGCCTATCGAGAAGAGCCAGCTGATCCATAACAACCTGGGGAGGGAGGTATATGTGTCTATTGCTGACTACCGGGGGGACGATGAGACCATGGGATTCCCTGAGGGCACCTGCCTGGAGGTTCTAGACAGGAACCCCAATGGGTGGTGGTACTGTCAGGTCCAAGATGCCCTGCACCCCCGCAAGGGCTGGGTCCCCTCCAACTACCTAGAGAGGAAGAAGTAATGGCCTAATAATAATAACAATGTCCCCCTTTGATGATGTCACTAAGAATATTGGTGATGACACCACTCCATAAGAATGTTACCCCACAAGAGATACCACAAGCAATATGCTCCAAATATGTAAATGTTTGATTCTGAAAGACTTTATGTACAAAAATATGTTGTTTTAATCTTATAATGAGAATGAGACACTTTTATTTCTGGTTTACTAAAATGTACATGTAAAAGACTAAAAGTCCAGATTTTTGTGTGCGATATGGGATGAAACGAGAGACTGAAAACGGGGGTTGGCCACCCCCAGTGTTAGAAACACAAAGATGTTTTTGGAACTTTGGAACGATGCGATTTGACACGACACCTTCTAGAAGGGGTTTACATTAGAAAGAGAAGATAGCTGGGTAAGGATGGCAAGCCTTATACCTGCCCTTGTGACTATAATGCCAAATAGGTGCCTTTTGTAGATGATCAACTGAATGGGGGTTCGAAGAAGTGGACGGAACACATCAGTGAATCAACGTCATTACCAAATGTATTACAGTGCCATAGGCCTATGAGCATGAATACCACCAAAATTATTTTTGTAACGTTCAAGAGAATCACTTGAGTAGGAATGTTTAGGAGCGTTACCGAGCGAATATGATCAATCTAGAGTGTTGTATTAGAATGTTCAGAATCAAATAATAAAAATAAAAAAGAGAACAGGAGAGATATCAGTGACTCTCAGTGAGTCACAATTGAGCAAAGTCAAAATGACTAATCCTTTGATTATATTTTTTAGACATTTCTGTATGTTTTGTTCTTTAATGTCTTTGTGTGTCTTTTTGTCTGTCCTTAGAGATGTATTTCTGCTTTCTTGTGTTATACTCCACCGACAGTCCAGAATTGGAAAGAGTCAAAGTTTAGTCTCTCGGATGTTCCGATCTCTGAAGTTTCACTGACGGAATATCTATGTTGAGGTACACGTAATTGGACAAACTTTGTAGTTTTACCCCACTTCTGGAGTCCCACTTCTCATTCTAACATTTTCAACCAAGCCTACAGAATCTTGCACACAAATAAAGCTGAAACCTGTCAAGCTTGAAATCTAATCAAATTATACTTATTGGGAAATAAATTCCAATTGAAGGTGCTTTTCAGTCAACAAAAAAAAATGCCTACCACCAAGATATTAGTTTATACAATAAGTTTTAGTATTGTATGTCTGTAGTAGTCCCAGACAAATATCTTTGTATATATGCTTTACTGTATATACAGTATAGCAACCGCAGTTGCAGTTGCACAGAAAATAAGTACTGGAAATATGGCTTAATAATTGTTTTTCAATCCCAGGGATATACTTCCATAGCCTCGAGCCCACAATGTGATCAAACCAAAGAGGAATATCATTTAATTGGCTATTTTGTAGCTTTACTATTTATTTATGGGCACAAATAGCCTAATCCAGTGTATTCTAAAAAAAATGCCTAAAACTAAGTTTAAAAACTGAAGATTTAAAAAAAAATATATGTTGATAACAATATCTGGACTCAGTTGATTTTCTGAATCCAAATGAAAGATAGTGTCAACATGCGGATATTGCTGTGCAGTATTGGTTTATGTGGTATGCAATAGAGTTTATGTTTACTTTCTTGCTTTCAAAGTAGTTTGGTATCTACTGGATTTAGAATAGTACTGCAGGACTATACAGTCATGTCAACATAACCATTACTACTTACTTATATGTTTTCCCAAACACAATACTGATATTACTTTCAAAACGATCCCCAATAGAAAATCAAAATTAAGTACTATTTCAACTGGCTGGTGTTCAAGACTGCTGAAATATTTTTCTATTGAACAGTGTGTGAGCTTCTCAACTGAGGTTAAACACTAACTTTTCATTACATTTTCTGCTGGACAGTATTATAGTATTAAACAAAGTATTGTACCTGCTAGATTGCAGTTATATCTGTTTTAGCCAACCATAGTTGTTTTTTGTTGTTACAGTGTGATAACACATAGACAATAATGAAGATTGAAGTTCCGTTTTTTGTGAATTAATGCACTTTAACACTTGTTTACAGTGCATTAATGTAAAGATGCAGTTGAAATACTCAGCATATTATTTATTGATTTTTAAAAAACTATTTAATATTAGTATTTTTATACCTCAAGTTTTTAAACTCCTGTCTTGTCACAGGAGTTGCCAAATATCTCAGTCATTGGAGGATGCCAAAGCTCCTCACAATATAATAATTGGATACATGGTACTCTCTTGTGGGAGACGAATGCTACCGCAACATACTTTTTTCATGTTGCCCAACAAACCGGCAGTTACAATGCAATACTAAATGCACTGCTGGTCAGTGAAACTACCAACTACACAATGCCTGTACATAATTGAATGTTTTCAAATATTAATGCAGCTAAGAGTTAGTCTTTTTTTTTTTTGTAGTTTACAATTTTTGTAGTTCACTTTTTTGTATTTGGCAATCTTTTTTTTTAACCTTCTAAATGACTTTTTTCACCATGCTGTGTGCTGCAACTAGCAAAATCATGGAAACTTCCTTTCTCCTTATTGCTCTGTACATAATGCCTGATTCAAATCGTATTTATTTTTGAACTAATGTTTATACCTCCCATCTGTGGTTTGACAATCAAATATTTATCCCCTTCCTCACCAGACTGGACTAGACCTGTCAACCTAGTACAAAAGTCAATAATGTGTGATAAACTGTATAATTTTTTGAAATTTCTACATTCTATTTGGTATGCATTTCAAGCCGTTGCATACAGATATATATAGAAGCTGAAGTTAGTTCTGCTTCACAAATGGAGGGTAAAATGCTCTTTATCTCTCCCATCATATCCTATCTAAAGCAATGGAAATCAATAATTAGGCCTAGAACCCCTTACCCACCGCCCTCCCTCCCCTTGACGAAGGCATTATGTAAACGTGTTGAATCACCCATAACATTTTGCTTCAGCACATATTAATGCATATTGCTATTGTTTAATAGAGTACAATTTACACGGCTTGTCTGCCTGCGCCTGCAAATTACAAGGGAATTGTAATGTGTCAAGCTCGACTTTTTCATATTTAGTATTATGTATTTTTTGTTTTTCATAATGTTTTCAATGTTTCCCGGCAAAATGATCATTGTCATTCTATTTGTTTTTCGTTTTCACCCCATTGTATTTGAACATCATTCAGAAATCTAATAATGAGGAAATGTGCAATAGAAATAGGCATCTTTAAAAAACATAGGTAAAGAAAAACATGATCAACATTACCTCCTCTTTCAACATGTCTAAGGATATATGATCAAACAATATATTGTATATCCCTTAATCCATTCAAGCCATCATCGGTCATCTAAACGCCTTTAGGTCATGACTCATTTCAGGTCCACTGCTTTTTTCATATTAGCCTTTTTCAAAAGAGCAACAGTTGCTAATGGCACTAAACATACTCCAATCCCATTGGAGATGCTTACATCCATTGAGCTACAGCACAACATGTTGTGAAATGATGGCCAGCATTTTTAACCAATTGCTACGTAAGAATCCCTTCTGGTCCCTCCTCCTGGCTAGCGAACTGTGAATGACACCGGCAGAAGCCAATGACCCGGGTTCCGACCTCGTAAACATCTAGCTGTTCTCTACCACAAATGTCAGAATCGAGGGCCTCTGGATACTTACCAGACTGCCTTCGAGCTGTCATGTTTGTGCTTGGACAAAATGTTTTTGTTCTTGGAGTGTGTCTCTCTCCTCCACCTACGCAGATGCCTCCATGACATTTTAACACAAGCCATACCGGCCTCTTCAACCCCCTTGCTATGGTAAAAGAGACATTTTGAACCGACACAGAATGTCAACCGCATAATGTAAACTGGGAGACTGTCAACCGGTAGTCTTGTCGGGAAACAGTGATGTGTACTACAGGGTCATCGCAGTTTAATCCATCCGCTTCCAAACCAATACCTACCGTTACACCAAATATAAGAAACCACTTTTTTATGTATCTACATGTCTTCGACCCAAGCCCCATGGGAATTCATTTCAGACTTGACCGTGTGCATAATGTTTAGAATCTTCTGAGGAGAAAGAGAGAAAATACTACATGGGTTCGGTTTGGTCCTTTGTCCACAGATTACAACAGTGATGTTCTGGAGTTCCACTAAAGCTGGTAGTTTAACAGTTTCCTCTACAGATTATTTTTTTATCACTTATCCCCACATAACAGTTAAGGTGCTTCTCAGCTTTGGAAGCTCAGTTCATTTCCTTTCCCCTCCAGTAGATTTGATAGGGAAGACACACACACCGTTGAGTTTTAACTTTGGTGGAGGGTGGTAAAGTCTCACCAACGAGGGAAGCCATTCATGTCAGAGGGAATAGATTAGAGTCTCTACCATATTTGTGAAGTCAGCCAAGTGAGACCTTCCCTGCTGACGCTACACTGCCTCGACTCTCTGCCCCCCCCCCGCCCCTTCTCTCTTTTTATTTTAACAAATTGGTTGGCCCTTCTCGAGCGTGACGTTCTCTTAAACCTAGTAATCCTAGATAGCACCAGCCGAAATGCCTTTTTTCCTCCCAGCTTTTTTTGTTCGACTCTTCCTTTTCTAGTGCCTCCTTGCTCTCTCTTCTGCCTTTTCCACCATACTTCCGCCATCTTCTTTTTATTTATTTCACCTCAACCAAAGCTAGTAGTTCCAAGTGCCGAAAGCTAGTTACTTGAAGTAGGAAGAAAGAAGAGATTGGATATGTTGAGTGTATCTAGTGTATGAGGTTTGGGTCGTCGGAGTATGTGATGTGAGATATTGTGTGTTGGTTTGTTTGAGAGAGGACATGTGCACTATGATGAGATGGATTGCGTGCAGGTGAGGTCAGGGGAAAGATAGGAGGAAGTCAGGGATGCGGTTGGTTGTGTTTGGGATGCGTCTGGAATCCTGAGATGGAACAGATTGTGGATTGTAGATGACATGGCAAGAACGAGAGAACGAGACAGAGATAGTGAACAAG